AGATGTTGGCAAGTTACCCTTCACAGAAGTTGTACCAATGCACATACTTACTTGCCAAGTATCAAAGTCTTCTGACTTTTCTAAAATGCACATACAAAGGAACTAAAACACATACGTAGGAAGTAACAGAGGCAGCTTGATAGGACCCTGTGAACATAGACCAATTGGATTTCTTGTTCCTTTGCCCTCTGTTGGGTAGATAATTTGGATTGCTTATATACATTTAGAGTTGATTAACTCACGATTCTAAAATGGAACATCACATTAAAGAGGTTTCTAATTTGCAAACTGTTTTTGAGCTGCATTTCAAACTGTGAGAACCTCATGAAAAAGTTGGTAGATTTGATGGTGGGCTTAATCATTGTTTTCTGGGTTTTTTTAAGGTTTCAAATTTGATAACACTATATATTAAATCTGAAACTTGGGAACTTTTTGGTTTTGTATTCCTTTACTCTCTTAAACATTATTGAGAACTCCAAAGAGCTTCTGTTTTATGGGTTATATATAGAGAGATATTTACCATATTTAAAGGCAAAACTGAAAAAAATATTTATTAAAATGTTTCCATAATGTTAACATAAATAATATTCTTATGAAAAATAATCAGTGAAAAGAATAGCATTATTTTATATTATTACAAATCTGGCTTAATAGATGATAGCTGGCATGTGCCTCGTGCAACCCAGTGGCACATTTCCTGTGGACTGAACTTCTGTGATGCAACATTGCATGCCCTGCCTTGACAAGAGATACGTCTTCCCCTTACCCTCCTTCTATAAAGTCCCACCCCAATTTCTAGGGGATGATGGGCAGCGTGAAGTTTCACAGGCTCTCTGTGAATTGGTTTTCCAAGTCCAACTTCAAACCTAGTGTTCTAATAGTCTAAAACTTGGATGAGTCTTTGTGAATCACAGAGTCCCTGTTAGGGCATCTTGCAGAATTCCAAGTGAATATGGTAGCTGTATTAGATTTCATAGAAGGGGCCAAAGGCACCATAGAATGGTGTGCTTAGGGTGGTGCTCAGGCTTATGTGCCCAACCTACACCCTAAGAATCAAATTCTAATGCCCAGTGCTGACCACAGCTCCATACACCTACATTAGAGACTGACATGTTACATAAAGACTTCTGGCTCTCATCACTAGATTACCCTCAAGAGACTAACTGTGCTTACTGAGTGAACAGATAAGGGGCTGGAAGAGCCATACTGAGTGTAGAGAATAGCATGTGGGAAACACAGAAAATCAGGCACATTACCCAGCCAGAGCCAAGTGTAATACAGAGGATCAGAGTTAAAGCCAGAACTGGAAAGGTGGCAACACCTATGCATAAGATAAAGACTGGTTACCCTTGGCCACCTATGTGGGCAGATCAGCCAGGAAATTGAGAACTGTCCAATAGTGGAATTACGTGCTGGTTGGAGAGTCAAATGAGGTTTGAAATCCATTAGACTGTTCCTGGATTTCCTGGTGAAACTGCTCAGGAGTAAGGACCCTGAACTGGGCATCATTTTGAAGAGGAGAGAGAATGTTCAACTCTACAGTATTAACTACAGTTTGATATGTAGTGTTTTTATCTTCCTTTTTGGTCTACAAGTCCCTCTATGGCACTCCTTTATAACATGGTTTGGGCAAGAAATATTCTATTTAACAAATGAGGACAGGCTGAGGTACACTGTGATTGATTCAGCTGGAAAGTGATACAACCACACTCAGATCTTCAGCCTCCTATTCCAGTGCTTTATCTACTCGATCAGAGTGGGCAAGTGTGGGTAGGAGAAACTGGAGGCAGCGGAAGAAACAGAAGCTCAAGCTGAGCCTTTGGAGGCCAAGAGGGTTTAGAGGACAAAGAAAAGGTGGCAAAGGAAGCAGGGGAGACCCAGGAAGGAATCTCTTGGCAAATGTGGGCCAGTGGGGAGATTGATAAGAGTTTTGATTTGTGACGGGACATGGGAAATGAGGTTGGAACAGTGGGAATAGGGCCAAATAATTTGGATAAGATGTGGTATGTGATACAGCAACATTGTGGTTCTCTGAAAACCAAAGTAACAATGAAAACGGCTTTAGGGGATGCCTGGGTGGCTCAGTGGGTTAAAGCCTCTGCCTTCAGCTCAGGTCATGATCCCAGAGTCCTGGGATCGAGTCTTGAATTGGGCTCTCTGCTCAGCAGGGAGCCTGCTTCCCTTCCTCTCTCTCTGCCTACTTGTGATCTCTGTCAAATAAATAAAATCTTTAAAAAAAAAAAAAAAAAGAAAACGGCTTTACGAAGGTCAGTCTGGCAGTGAGGCAAGGATCTGAGTGGATGAGAGTCAAGCAGTGGGTAACCCATTAGGAGACTGTTGTAATTCAGCTGTGAGGTACTCAATCTTAGACTAAGCTGATGGCAGTGGAAATGGCAAGGAAAGAATGAATCCACAAGATAATAAGAAGACTCCAGGACTTAGTGACAGATTAGCTATGAAAAGAAAAGTACAGGTTCAAAGCTGCTCTAAGCTCTGGGAGTCTAGAACAATGTAGGCCTCACTGGAATAGAAGGTTAGGGTCTTTATTTTAGAGACATTAGATTTGATATAACAGTATCAGAGGAACAAAAATACTGATAGATTTGTGGGATGCCTGGATGGCTCAGTTGGTTAAGCTTCTGCCTTTTTGTCTCAGATCATGATTCTGGGATTGAGTCCCACATCAGACTCCTTACTCAGTGGGGAGCTTTTGTCTCCCTCTGCCTGCCATTCCTCCTGCTTTGTGCTCTCTCCCTGACAAATAAATAAAATCTTAAAAAAAAAAATTGAAACTTGAGATTACATCACAGGTGAATGACTAGGGATCATATCCTTTACAAAATGAATTTTGAAGCACATGGATGAAAAAGGAAGTAAGTTAGATTAGCGAGCACATTTGTTATAATCATAGAAAGCAACATATAGCCTTTTTTCATGTTAACTTTATTAGTATTTATAATAAAAACAATTTATGAAAATATTTTCAAGATATAGAAACTACAATCTTTGCAAAATATACACACTCATAAATTGTTACAATACACACCCTTGTATATACTTTGGACATTATAAAAGTGTTTAAGAATGACACTCTGTAAAAGTTTAGAGAAGAAACATTTTCTCCAACCTTGGTCATATATTGTGACATTCAAGTACTTAAACCACACACTGTTGAAATAACTCATCTCTAGTGTACAGGCCCAAAGGGATTTAACTCTCCAAGTCCTATAGGTTCTTTCATTGTGCAAGGTAAAGAACCAGGAGAGGGTTCCCTGAGTTAATTTACCTTAGGTAGCTCAAGCAGTGGTTTACTTTCCACACGTTATCATGGAAATAAGGGAAAGGAGAAGGCCATGGAAACCCATCTTGGACAGATCCCCTCCTCAGCATCTCTATCTGTGCAGCGTGGCCCCTACAAGAGGATCTTTGAGCTCTAAAATGCTCTGATTCTGTAACTATCTAACATTCTTGCAAAATGATGCTTCTGCAACTCTAAACTCCAAAAATTGTGGTTTAGGCTTAAGTTATAATGATAGTGTGACTCCCTTAAGTAGACTTCATTTAGGATTTGTCAGGTGGGAAGCATTTGGGAAGATCAGCAAGCTAAAAATTTCCTCTTGGAACTACTGGAAAAGATCCTTTCTTACCAAGGCATAAGCCTCAGAAGCCAAGCTCTTTCTTTCTTTGGAAGAAATTATGATGAAAGGGAGAGAAAGAGCCTATAATCATTCAAATCTTTAGGCTTAAGATAATAACAGATGCTAGGTTGGACAGTAAGAGTTGGAAACCATCATAGCTTCACCAATAAAGAGTTCATTGTGATAAAAGAATCATTTGCGTCTACTCTCTACTTCCTAATTAACCTCCCAAGTGCTCCTAAATACTACATTCTCTCTTTAACTGCAGAGTATTGGCCTGATGAAATTCCAGATAAAAAAATGTCATTTGAATTCATGAAATTAGTGTCATGGTACAGCACTAACATTTTATACTGATATACTAGAATTTAACAGTGATTTTTGTTGTTGTTGTTGTTCAAGAAACTACAAAAATCAACCATGAATTCATATCTTAACATTTAACAAGTAACATGAAGCATTATTACATGTAATTCTATAAGGGAAAAGGACTACAAAAATAAACTTAATAGGATTACTGTATTTTAAAAAGTTGTCTTAAAAAAATATATGCCACAGTCTTCTAAATATTTGGTGCAGAGAGGGTAAGGGAGGTATCTATTAGGGTGAACCATAAGAAACCACTGGTTTTGTAAGTTAAAAAGGTAAAATTTCAGCAATTTCATATGGCTCAACCTAATATCCTGAGAAAATCTTATTTGGCATCACATTATAAATTCAAAGAGAATTTATAGAAAATCACATTTCTAGTGAGGGGAAAATACTTCAGCATGGAAATGTGCACACTGGCTATGCCAAGATTTCTCTCTTGTGGTTTAAAGACCTGAAATCTTAGAAAGTTAAGAAAAATGTAGTGCAGTTTCAAAAAAACAGAGGACAACTTAAAATTATAGAATGATAGCTACAGCCGTGAATGCCACTGAAACGGAAAACTTCTAGCCAAACCTGGTGATTAAAAACTTTTTTTTTTAAAGTTTACATATAAAAATTCTGGCATCAAAATGAAAAGGCACTCATATGGGTTAAAAGAAAGATAATCATTTATAAAAGCCTTGAAAATAAGGCTAATTCATTTGTATTATTAACACCATTAAGTAGGCACCTATTCCAAGTTTCAGCTTTGGCCTCCGAAATGGAAGTAGGTTTCAAATGAATTTCCAACATAATACCAATTATAGCAGCATTATAATCAGTAAGTTTCTTAGCATCTACACTGCTCAAAGGGCATCTAAAATTTCCTACCCACATATATCCCATCAGTGCCAAAAATACACTTTAAAAAATTACATATATTTATACCAGTCATAGAACATTTTTTTTTTTTGTCCTCTTACCGATGACACCCCAACAGCAAAAAAAAACCGAAACCAAAACCAAAACAATTAAGAAAAAAATTGCTACCACACTGACTGGCTAAATTCTTAGCTAATTAAAGACATACCATATTCAAAACTAGTACTTTAATTACGAAATTTATTAAGTATGACCAGTGAAGGAAATGCGGACTTTCCAACTGTGTGCACGCGTGGCGTGTCTGCCCGGGGACCGTGCGCGTGGCGGCAAAGCCTCATTTGGAACCCTGGCACCACTTCCGCACCGCCGCGCCGGTGCTGCTGGCTATGACGCACAGAGCCCCGCCCACCGTCCACCACGTGGGCATATCGTTAAAGAAAATAATCTGGAAGATGAAAGCGAAGACCACGTCCATAGTCTTCATTATTGCCACTGGCCCTGCTTTTTCTATTTGGATGGCTTTCGTGAGAAACACCTGACCCCCCAAACCAAACAGGCCGATGAGGATGAGAAACAGCCTGTCCAAGCCGCAGTACGGCAGACTCCATTCCCCGATGATGAAAAGGATGATGATGCTCTCTAAGAGCCCGAGGATGACGTAATACCAGATGCTCAGGAAGTAGTCCACGGACTTCCCCATCTTTCTGAGGATGACCAGGGTCAGGGCGCCGAACACAGCGTGCGCCACCGCTGCGATCGTGCCCTTGAGGTGAAGGGAGTAGCTCTCGCCCCCGCCTGCGGCGCTGGCGCCAAACAGAAACGGGGGCCTCACGATAAGGATCACGCCGGTGATGGTGAAGACGGTGAAGAGGGCATCCCAAGGGCTGTATTTCTCCTTGAGAAATATGCAAGCAAAGATAGACGTGAACACGGGCGAGCTAAACGTGATGACAGTGGCGTCGGCGAGAGATGTGGCCTGGAAAGCGTAGTACAGTAGGATCATGGCCGTTGAACCCAGGACTCCTCTGAGCAAGAGGAAAATTCGTTGACCTTTGGGGCCTATAAACCCAGTTCTGTAAATTCAAATGGAGGAACGCACATTAAACCAACTTGGTATGTTTTTAATATTGCAATTCTTGATTAAATGTAATTTTTGAATGTCTAACTGTCAAAAAATAAGGGACTGGTAAATTATAATAATACCCACAAATGAATAATATACACCTTTAAAAAATGGTTTCTAAGTACAGCTAAAGACATGAAAAGTGTTCACAGTAGAAGCAAAAATAGCAGAAGAGAACTCCATAAATTGTATAATTATAATTCAGCAAATATAATTTTTCCTATGTTTACACAGGCTTGCAAAAAAAAAACAAAAAGGAAAATGCACTGAAATGTTCATAGTGGGTAAACATTAATAGATGGACTCACAGGTAATTTTTCTTCTTTATTTTCCCCCAATTTTCTACAGTGATAATAAGTGATGTTTATAATAAATACAATTTCAAGATTGAGCTGTTTCTACATAAGAAAACTTGGTGCTGACTGGTATGCATTGCCAATCTTACGAGTTTTTCTATAAAAGCTGAGGTAATGCTAAAATGTATTTTAGCCTTGAAATGTGAGACAACTTTTGACTGTTCTCTGCAGGAAGAGTTAAAATATACTGAAAAAGAACATATAGCCATTTGGATAAGTATAATAACTGCCACTCAATTTTTTTAAATTAAATATTTACCAAGCAATGTGCTGGGTACATGTCAGGCTAGTGCAGCTTGCTGACCTGGAACCAGCACTGAACATCTATGTGAAGTCTAGCCCTGTAGGCCTGACATGAGGACTGCTGGGTCTCTGGAGTTAGAAAGGGTGGGTCATCTTTGACTCATACTTTGAAAATACTTGGAATACCATATGCATCTTCCATGATAATGAAACATAAAATGGGTCAAAACAGATTGGTGCTAAGGATTTAAAAAACTCTTCTAATGCCTTCCCCTGACAATTCTTTTATTAAGGGGAAGATAACTGTGTTAGCGTCAGTGGTCTGTTATCACCCTTAGAAACTTCTGAAGTCTTACCATCATTTCCTAAAATACCGAGACTTGTCCACACTTCCACAGGAATTTCTGACAGTATTAATTAGTAAGTTTTCACCTTTTTCACCAAATCCTCAGGATACAGGGTGAAACTATTCCAAATGCATCTGTACTGTGTTACAGATACAAGGAGACTTTGGTGGCACCTGACTGAAGCATTTAGTTTAGGGTTTAAGCATTTTTGCCCAAAGAGAGAAAGAGCCAGACTGCCACCAGGGACCCAACTGGTCTCTTCTCTAAGGGTTCTAAGTACACGGGGGTGTGTAGAGATTATAATAGGTGTGAGAGAGGCATAATTTAACCTGGGAAAGGGTGGGGATCCTGATCACTCCCCACCGGCACCTCTTTCCCTTCCATATAGAAGGGAAAGAGGTGCCGGTGGGGAGTGATCAGGAAGGGTGGGGAATACTACATGTGTTACATTCTACAGAAAGCACTCTGATCTATAATAAATTTTATTTGGCCCTTGCAGCCAAGGTGCCAGATAGAAGACAAAGAGTATAATTCCATCCATTTCACAGATGAGGACACTAAACATGAAACTATTTAAAAGGCCTTGCTGAAGATTACCTTTTCTCTTTCCCACATTATTAAGGTAACCTTCTATTTGCCTGGATAACAGAGCAGCCCATTCTACTTAAAGAAATCTTGGTATTAGGAGACACCACTGCTTCTTCTCATTTACTTTTTTCTTCTAAATACTAGTTATGCCAAGGGAAAGAAGGGAGGGTGGTACAAGATGGAGGAAACTATACAAGGAATGCTTTGTTCTCAAAATGGGGAGTGGAGAATAACTGAATCTCTTTCCCCTCTTTTGCTGGGCATGTGGTTTGTGCTTATGAGAGCATCTTCTGTGGGTGGGTCCTTGTGACTTTTTAGTAATCAGAGCCAAAGGATGTAGGAAATGGCAAATCTATGGGAGGGATAAAGCAGATGCTAGAGAATAAATAATTTCAGCAGATCAAAAGATTTACAAACATTTGTTAATACCTTCTACTTTGCAGATAAGAAATACTTACTTTCTGTATATTAAGCAAGGGATAATGACTAGCATTTGGAACACACATCGGAATGCACTAATTTCTACAGCATGGACGTCTTGCACTTTTTTAACAAATAAAGAGGCCACTGAGAAAAGGAAGGCGGACAATAATGTATAAAACAAGCCAAGTCCAGGACAGGGTGCTTTCTTCTTGGCTTCTGAAAAAGATTAAGTTCTGGTTAGTCCTTGCTTCCAAATATATGATTTATTATTTTCAGTTAGGAATTGAGAAAAATGGTACAGTGTTAATGGCTAACAGGCTAAGAATGCTATCTCCTAAGCATATCCATTTTCTGGATCTGAACCATTTCCTTACCAGGAATGAAGAATCATTGAGCAAAGCAACAATTTAAACCCATAATTTTTGAAGCAGCTTTACCCTATAAAATGGATTTCCTTTGGCTCACTGAAGAATCACCCCTCACTTATAAGTCAAAAAGAAGTATAAATACTTGCCAAGATGGTGAGAGAAATCTTTAAGAAATGCTTGTCAAGATGGCTGGAGAAAAAGGCTTCCAGGTGATAATTTTTATCATCTCACTGGTGAACCGGGCTTTATGAAGAAAGTATTCTTTTTTGGACAACAGTTTATAGCTGTGTCATATGGCTCCTTGTTGATTATCTTACTTCCCCACCAAGTCTGTGTACTCTTTCAGGCTGGGACCTCACTGCTTTGTTTGTGCCTGGCTCATGGAAGACCCTGATTAAATATTTGCTGAATGAAAGAATACAAGAGAACTTATAGAAAGACACCAAGTCTAACACCCACTGGCGACAGCGTAATCTGGGAAGTCTCTCCATTCTGTTATTTCGAACCGTTAATCAAATCTTTTACTTTTCATGGTTTACGACTGATCTTCTGTTTACAGCATAAACTCTTCGAGGGCAGGGGGCTAGGGTATCTACCCCTCTGACCTCAAAGTGCTTTAAAACAAAAATTTTTAAAAATCAGAACTGTCGTTGAGCACCAACTGCTTGGCTAGATCTGAACCAGGAAACTTCTGCTACTTCTGCTTTCTCTAGAGCATCACATATTCAGTCCATTATTGACAGTGTGTATGAGCATTAAACTTTTGTTTTGCCACTTTCTCTATCTGAGTTACCTAAGACAAAAGTAAAACCTGTTTTGAATCTCATATCCACTCCCAACCCCATCATTCAGAGGGGAGCTAAAGGGGACAGGATAAGCCAAGAGCTCCCTAAAAGACAGGTGACACACTGAGGAATATATTAATATTTCTTTTCTTTTTTGAAATGAATACAGAAACAAGGAGAGAGTAAGAAGGAAACACTACTGGCCCTCATCAGTTAAGAGCATAGCAATATGCAAAAGTGTATGGTTTGGGTAGCTGCAGTTTATAGTAAAACTAGGATCATCATTCCAGTCTAGGAATTCACAACATGTTACTCAGCTACAGAACAATATTGCATAATAACATTTTTTAAAAAACGCCCTTCTCTGGCAAATGCAAACACCAGGTAATACATTTCAACTATCTCATAGCCATGAGATACCTTTGCCCACAAGTGACAAACACTTTGTGAATGGGGACCAAAGTATGACGATGCACAATCTTTCCAGGAGCATTCCATAGCCTGACATGTGCAATAAAAGATGCCACCGTGGTCTGAGGCCTCGCCCTCTTCTGGTTCCAGGTGCACAGTCAAAATCATTTGGAGCTAGTGGTCGTCACATCAAGGGTGATATGTTTTAAGTCCCCGAATCCTCCACTTTCTGTTCACTGCCTATGTGCTCAGATACCGCGGAAACAAACTGTACATGCTCACTTAGCCCATGAGAAGGAAACTTTAGAAGACTTCCAAGTTAAGCACCACAAAATACATGTCTTGGCTGTGGTCAGCCTGAGAGTTCAGCTTCTGAAACTTCGGAGATCAGGTCCAAATAAAATAGTTTTTCTTAAAAGAAACCCAACTCATACATAGAAACTACACCCTCAGAACAGGAAGCTCAAGGACAGAAAACATCTCCCTGGTCTATATTTCAAGGACCTTCTCCAACCTAAACTTTTAAATTTTTCTCCAGGAATATTTTAACTTAACATGATACTTTAACTCTTTTAAGACTTAATTTTACACCCCTGGTTCTGATTATCTTGTCTCTTGAAACACAGCCACTCACATATTTTCTTGCCTATAAACACTTAAGGCCCATGATTGCTGACTGGGAGAGGGCAGTTGTTACAAGGCCTGGCTGAACTTGATTATTTGTTATGTGGGGGAGGCCTGGTTCTACTCAGGCAGACCTGTGTCTTACTGAATAAGAATTTCCATTCTGCCAATGGAGATGGACAAGAGAGCAGCATAATCCAAAGAGGCATTTGCTTATGTAATGTGCTTCTATGATCATATTCCACTACAAGCATAGCTAAAAATTTGGCAACTCTAAATAATTCAAATTAAATAAGGGGTCACAGTGCAACTTCCTGAGTTAGGAGAAAACTGAAAAGTTGCTCCGTTTCTCTATTCTTTGCTTTAAACTGGTGATTCACAACCCCGGCTGGGAATAAAAATCGACTGAGTAACTTTTTAAACTTCAATTCCCGAGTCCTACCCCAGACCCACTGATGCAGGCTCTCTGCAACTGTAGAAAGCTCCACCAGCTTGAGAACCAGTGCTACATACAGACAACTCCTCCCAGGGGCATATGAGGCACAAGAGTGAAGACAACTTCTCCTTGCTTCAGTCCAAAATCCACACTGTCCCTCAAGAAAATAAATAGATGTCTTAGGATAGCTGTATGCTGTCTGTGAAGGTTATCCTAGAATGTAGAAAACTGGTAACAGTTTCAATCTGAACTTGAAAATGAGCTTTCTTGAGACACCCATGATCAAGCCATTAAAATGATAACTGTTGCAAAGATCAATGACAACATTTCTCTGGCAATCCTGTTTTCGGAATATTATCTGGTTATCTTACAATAAGTACTACTAAATCTTACTGTTAGCAATTTTCTTTGCAGTTAAAATACTCCACAAGATTCCTAAGTGCAGCAGCTTACGTAGCTTTATCATTTTGCCACGTGCTGCCTGAGTGTACAGTATTTCTTTGGCTCACAACAGCAGAAACATTTAAGAGTTCATAAAGACTGACTCAGCATTCCACCAAAATGACATTCAGCCATAATAACTGATAAGGTGAGAAATACACCTCTTCATGGGCTGCACATCTGGTCAACACAGCTCCACAGCTAGCAGGAACCCTTGCTCTGTAGCTACCAGCCCATGCATAAATAATCAGAAGTCTGATCATTTGTTAGCATTTAGGACAAACATGGAGCAAGAGTCATCTGGGGCTCCTCTGTCTAAACTGTGGAAAGTTCATAATACAGAAAGGGGGACCTGGGGCTGGGTAAGTGGCACAGAAATCCAGGGTCACACTTGGTGGAGGCCACCAAGGGGATGAGATGGTGCAGACTGTAACTTTGTCTTGAAAGGCGATCTACCTTTTTCCTACTTTTCAAGGAAGATGTTCAAGGTGGGTAAAGGAATATGCTTAAAGTAGCACTGTGGTCAGCACAAAGGGCCTTGGCCTGGGTCTCTGGCATGCTGAGATCCTCAACCTTGGTGCTACACAGACCTATGCCATGTCTCACCCACACATGCCAGATCTAGGGAAAAACAAGGCAACCCCCGCTCTGAAGCCCTCATCTTCCTGGGCTTCACTTTCCTCATTTGTGGAAGAAAGAGGCTGAACAAGATCAAGGTGTTTTTACAGGATATACTGGGCTCTGGAAGACAGGTCTGTGAACCTCCTAACAATGTTAATGTAAGATTGTGCCTCTGCCTTTTTAGGATTAATTGCCAAGAAAGTCCTTCTGTATTTGTTTCAGGTCTATGATATAATGATTCAAATTTAGAAAAATAGGGAAAAATCACAAAATATTTACTATATTAATAATGGAATGCTGGTTTAGTTCAATATGAGCTATTACAAATATATTATAAAAATTTACAAATTTTTATAAATTATAAATATTTATAAAAATTATAAATATTTACAAAAATTTACAAGAACAAATAAGTTCTCAAATAACCCCAAAAGAACCAGTGGTTCCTCTCAGTCAACTTGGCCTTTCCAAGATTCTGAGATTCTGAGGCATTTTCTACACTCTATGCTTCCTTTTTTTTTTTTTTTTTTAATTTTTAATTAAGTAGACTCCATGTCCAGCATGGAGCTCAACTGAAGACTTGAACTCAGAACCCTGACATCAAGACCTCAGCCAAGATCAAGAGTCCCCCGCTTAACGGACTGAGCCACCCACGTGCCCCATACTCTGCTTTTCAACTTCCTCTTGAAGGAACACCGCTTACCGCCGTCATCAGTGTTCATAGTTTAGCTCCTTACCAACCTCAGCCGGCTGCGGGATGGCCTCTTACTGACCCCCCAACCTCCAACCTCCGGCAGGGCGCACCAAACTGCAATCTGACTCCGCTGTCCTGCCCGCAACACTTTAATTATAGGTACAGTTTCAGAATCCCAAAAGGGTTCCAAACACAGTCAGAAACTTTCTCCGGTCTTCGCGCCAGCGGGGACGAAATTCTGCTTTGCAGACCCCCAGGTGAGGGCTCGAGGGTTTTCCCCAGTTCTGAGCAGGGTAGGGATGGGGGCAGCGGTCCTCACTGAACCCTCGGCCCGCAGCTGTGCGGGGACCCCCGCCCGCTGGCGCCTGCACCCCCACCCCTACCCCAAGGGGCAAGACCAGCGCCCCGGTCCGCACCCCACACTCACCCTGCGGAGCACACAAGCCGCACGGCGAGGAGCCGAACAGCCAGCACCTCCCGGTACCGGGCGTCCCCGCTGCCTCGGCCGCCGAGGGCTCCTCGATCGCGCTCTGCGGCGCGTCGTCGGTCAGCCGCAGCCCGGGCTCTGGCACCTCGGCTGCCCCGGAGCTGTCCAGGGGCCGCATCGCGCGGCCGGCGCTCTCTCCCGCGCCGCGGCGACTAGCGCGGGGAGCAGCGGCTCCGCTGCCCGGCTCTTCCGGCCGGCGGCGGGGCGGGGCGCATGCGCGCGCGGCCCTCCTCCCCCTGCCAGGGACCGCGCTTGTCCTCCGCTGCCCTCTTACCTTCAGCTCCTGGAGACTCCTGCACAGGAGGAGGCCGGCCACCTCCCTGGTCTGGGGCTGGTGCCCACAACTGGTCCAAGGGCGTGCTCCGCTCTGCTGCGGTCCGGCTAGACTGGCCAGCGGCTTGGAGTCATCCTTCCCCAGGCACAGCGGACCCCTTTCTGTCTTTGCAAAGAGAGGGAGGGACGCCTGTGGGTTCTGTGGCCTTCTTTTGGAGTAGGCCTTTGGGAGGTTAGGAGAGTGTGCTTTTATTTAATGGTGTGGCGACGCATTCAGCACTTCTGGAATGCCCTGGAGACCTTGCCAAACACTGCCTTTGTCTCTTTGCCATTTATCCAAGGAAGGTAGAATTTTTCTGGTTTTAGGTAAAACAACAACAACAAAAAGGATTAGAACATAACCATAGGGAAAATATATCTGTAAGACTGGGGCAGAACCCATTTATATGTTCTTTGTAACAGTAGGCATTCATTATTGGTCTTTCTTTGTTGTTTCTTTCTTCTTTTTGGTTGTTAACTGAGACATCTAATTTGGTTAGATGTAAGATTCCAATAATCTGACATAATTGTGCCCAGTAAAGTAAAAAAAAAAAAAAAAAAAAAAATATATATATATATATATATATATATATATATATATATATATATGTGTCATTTGGCTCCAGAATGCCTGGGATTCACTAATATGCCCTTTATGTGTAGGTAATTCTTCTTTCATCTCTGCTTGCTTTAAAGGTGAAAGGACAGTGTCTGGGCAGGGATGAACTTGCCTAAACTGTTCTAGGTCCAAGTGCAAGCAGATTGCCAACTGTCTTTACTCAGATATTTGTACAAAGTGATCAACAGCTGAAAAATACTGCAGTCAGGAATCCTGGGTTCTGCCTCTGATTCTGTCCCTGAGTATGTGACCTAAGATAGTCACCACCTACTACTTGAGGCCTTGGTTATTTGAGATAAAACATTTCCCTCCCTATTTTGCAGAGTTGTGCAAATCAAGTCCAGTGATGGGGGCAAAAGCAGCGTCACCTGAAAAGCACTTTACTAGAAAATCAAGTTGTGTTTTTAAATAAGGTGAACATATAATTTATGCTCTAAACTGGACCCCCCCCCCTTTTTTTAGAGTAAAAGAAGGAGCTTTCAAAAATTAGGCAGGGCAATAGGCATAAACCAGGTTTGTTGTAGGCAAGTTGGGACAAATGGCTACCTGAATTCTAACTTTGTTAACACATACTTTGCTTGTCTTAAAAAGAATTTAAGGCTGCTTATAAAATATATGAAACTGATTTTATTTTTGGTGGTGGTGGCGGTATTTTGGTGGGGAAGTTGTAGGGAAGAGTGGTGAGGGTGATAGACCATGATTATGAAGCAAGAACCAAAAAAGTCAGTGATTTTGAAGCAGAAACCAAACATCTAGAAATCAAGTGCAGTTTCACAACTGCATTACTTGTAAGACTTAGATGTGCAGAGTGTTTGAAGAGTCCCTGTAATATTGTGATTTACAGGAAGTATATATTTGGTAATTCACATATTTCTTTGCTCTTCATCCAAGGTTCTGGGCTCACAGCTCTCAAACCCTTGGAATTTCCTGAGCAGTAAGAGCAATGGGAGCGACTGTTGTCTTAATACTTGGTCTCTTGTCCTTAGTTCCTAAAATAGCTTCAGAGCCATAAAGGTGTAATGGGCATCTTGTTATTCATAACAAACCTCCTTCTACCACAACTGGGTTTATGTTAATGAGGTGATTTTCTGAAAACACCTAAGGATGGTGGCTCTTGCCAAGGAACCATCCAGTGATTAGAGGGTTGGCACTGGCAGTCCCACCCGACACATGTGGGGAGGGGGAAGGGCCAGGGATTGGGTTCAGTCACCAATGGCCAATGATTTAATCAATCATGCCTATATAATGAATCCTCCATAAAAACCTCCAAAGGGTGGGGTTTGGAGAGCTTCCGGTTGGTGAGCACATGGAGGTACTGGGAGAATGGCTCTCTGGAGAGCCCATGGAAGCCCTGTGTTCTTTCCCCATACTTTGCCCTGTGGCTCTCTTCCATCTGGCTATTCCTGAGTTATGGCTCCTGAGTTATAGCTATATAGTTATATAGTTATAGTTATAGTAAACCAGTGATCTAGTAAGTAAAATGCTTCTCTTAGTTCTGTGACTTGCTCTAGCAAATTCATCAAACCAGAGGGAAGGGTCTTGGGAGCCCCCAGTCTATAGCCAGTGGGTCTTGCAGTAACCTGGACTTGTAATTGACATCTGAACGGGTGGGGACAGCCTTGTAGGACCAAGTCCCTAAACTGCAGAATCTGATGCTATCTCTGGGTAAATAGGGTCAGAACAGAGTTGAATTATGGGACACCCAGCAGGTGTCTGGAGAATTGTTGTTGGTGTGGGGAAACCTCCCACTGCCCAGCCCCCTCTCCCAGTGGACTTGGGTTCCAGGAACCCTGTTAGTTTCCCATTCCAAATAGGAAAGATGGTGGTTAGGAAGTGTAAGGAAGAAAGAACTGGATGATTAGAGCAAGAATAATGACTTGACTACTTTACTTTCAATACCATCCTCAAAAAGGAAGAAGAAAATAGGTACCACACCACTACTGACTAGGGTGACTGAAGGGTGATGGGATGATTTGAGCCTTACACTGTATTCCCTTTTACTTCCTTCCCTTCTGCTGCTGACATTGATATATGAAAGATAGTACTCCTGGTAGTTTTCTTGTTTGCTAAACAAACAAGAACCATTAGACATATGAAAAGCAACTGATAAGAAGAGTTTGGACCAGACTAGGTCAGAAGACATGGATCCAAGTTGCCCCTCCATCCAGCAGGGGCATGGAGGAGCTAAGTTTTTCTCTGAGCCTTGCTGTTTCTATACTCTGGTGACAAGGACTTAGAGCTGGGTAGAGATGGGCTTACCCCAAAGCTTGAAGGGTGTAGCAGAAATCCTGGGGTGGGGGGAAACCAGGTCAGAGTCCACTGCAGTAGTCTGAGATTCTGACCTCAAGGCAGAGGAGGCAGGGAGGAAGGCCTGCTTTTGAGGTAGCTGGCAGAAGGAGTGGACAGGATTTGTGGACTCAATACAAAGGAACATTGCTTCCATGGGAAAAGTCATGCAGCATTCCAACTGAAATTCTGCTTCTGAGGGAATTCAGTTCTCTAGTGAGAACAGGGACTCTCACTCTAATGCCAGGTAACCACAATGGGGTGGCACTCCCATAGTTCTGGTGTCAGAAAGGAAGACGGAAGATGAAAGTAGAAGAGGGGTGGTAATGAAGGGTAGTTGGAAGGCAGGCAGGGAGGGACAAGCCCCCCATCCCCTCCAGCCCTCAGAGGAAACCACCCTTGGGATTTTACACCACCGGAAGGAGCCCTCTACCCTTCCCATATGACAGATAGATGACAAAAACCTGATGGGATGACAGGCACGGGTGGGGGTGGTTAATCAGATTAAAATAGCCCTCCAGGGGCACCTGGGTGACTCAGTCAGTTAAGCAGTTAAGAGGCTACCTTCACCTCAGGTCATGGTCCTAGAATCCCCAGGCTGAGCCCCATCTGTCCGGCTCCTTGCTCAGCAGGGAGACTGCTTCTCCCTCTGCCTGCTACTCCCCCTGCATGCGCTCTCTCTCTGTCAAATAAATAAATAAAATCTTTTTAAAAATTAAATAAAACAGCCCTCCAACAAGCCCATAAAAACCCCTAGACTTGGAAATTCCAGTGGTAACCTTCTAGAGTCGCATCCCTCTTTAGGAGCTTTGTACTATCATTTAATACACCTTGCTTTGCTGCCCACCACTCTGCCCGGTCTACCTCTTCATTCTTTGAAGGGGTGTGACCAAGAACCATGGGCACCGAAGGATAAAAAAAAATCCTGTAACAGGGGGTTCTAGCTGTTCCATGAAGAGGTGAGAGTGCGGCATCCTCGCCATGGCAGTGATGGCAGGTGGAGACCTCCAGCTACTGCAGCAGAGGAGTTGGACTCCTGATTTCTGCCGCTGTTTATATGTCAGGGATGTTCCTGAGTGAGGCATGTGTAAATCAGGAGCTCTTTTCTCTTGGTATGTCTACCTAATTCACATCAGACTGATATCTTGATAGTGATTTGAAAGACTGCTACCCCCCACCTCAAAAAGAGTTGGTTTCTTACTCTTCTAACATGCAACTTATGACTTAGAAAATGGCAGTTTGCTCCAAGGAGTGAGGTCCAATGTGTGTGTTTTGGGGAAGATCAGTACTGTGGAACATAAGATCATAATTTTAAATACCTTGATAAGTGAAAGAGGGAACAAGCCAAAGAGAGGTAGTTTAGCCTAAATGTGGGGTGGTATATTGGAGAGACAAAATAAACTGTTTGAATAGATGATAAAAACTGATTTGGGGGGAAAAAAAAAACAGGAAAAAAATGCCAGGGTTGGTTCCTCAAAAACATTCAGCATAGAATTTACCTCCTGATCTAAAAATTCCACTTCCAGTTAAATACCCAGAAGCACTGAGAGCAGAGACTCTAACAGAGAATTTGCACAACAGTGTTCATAGCAGCATTATTCACAGTAGCCGAAAGGTGGAAAGAGCCCAAATGTCTACCAAATGATGAATGGATAAACAAAGTGTGGAATAGACATACAATGGAATATTACTCAGCCTTAAAAAGGAATGAAATTCTGAAACACTGCAACATGGATGAACCTTGAAAACATTACACTAAGTGAAATAAGCCCAACCTAAAAGCAGACAGACTGTACGATTCCACTTAGATAAGGAACCTAGAAGAGTCAAATGCATAGAGACAGAAGATTGAATGAATGGTGGTTTTCAAGAACTGAGAGGAGCAGGGAAAGTGTGTTAGTGTTTAATGGGTACAGAGTGTCAGCCTGGGGTGATGACATTTCTATTCTGTGGGTGGATAGTGTTGA